CATCCTATACATATTATAAATAATATGATGGAAGATGCTCGTGAGGAAAAGAAGGAACTATGGTTACTCTTTCAAGATATTAGCAAAGCCTTTGACTCAGTAGACGCAAAATTAATGAAATTGGCATTAAAACGATTACAAATACCTAAAATGATTATTAAAATAATTAATTACATCGAAACTAACCGAACAGCGCAAGGACTAACGGAATACGGTCCCACTGACAAATACAGAGTAAATAAAGGGGTAGACCAAGGGGACTCGATCTCTCCCTTACTTTGGTGTATATTCTATGACCCGTTATTAGCAGAAATTGAAACTTTTAAAAAAGGATATAAAATGGAATTAAAATGGAAAGTGGACATGACCTTAAAAGAACAGATATATGAAGAAAAGATGATAACATCTATGGCATACATGGATGATACTGTTTGGACGACAAATAACAAATCAAATATGATGGAAATACTAAAAATTGTTGAAGAATTTTTTACACTCAATAAGATCAAGGTCAATGTGTCGAAATCAGAATTGATCATAATCAATGGTAGTAGAGAAGATAAAATAAATGGAATTAATTTTATCAACGATACGATAATATCAGCTAAACCCTCAGAAGCAGTCAGATATCTAGGTATTTGGTTACAAGAAAATGGAAAGAAAACATACCAGAAAAAACTCATTGAGGAAAAAGTATCTAAAACCACAGTGACTATAATCCGAAAACAACTAACTGATAAACAAAGCCGATACGTAATAAACCATGTATTATTTCCGCAGATAGAATACCTCCTAATGGATTATGTATATCCAGAAAAAGAGCTAGAAAAAATTAACGCCAGAATACGAATGGTATTTAGGAGATCTTGTGAATACGCATCTAAATTACCTAATAGTGTTCTATACGCTGCAATCAGATATAAACTTTTTTGCCTACAAAAAAGACAATTACAATTACATTCGACAGAATTAATAAATAGAATCAATAAAGTAGATCTATGTGGATGGACTACAAAAGTGAGGTTACAAAAATTACAGGACTATATGTGGACAATAAAGAGTATTTGGAGTGCTGAAACAATAAATAAATATAAAGCACGTAATCGCAACTTGACTGGGGAAATATTAAAACTCTTAGCAAAAAATGACATTGAAATATGTATGAATGGTAAAATTGACTTTCCAATTAAACTTGGGAATGGAGTTATTGACATAGAATCTTTTATGGAATCAGAAACCTGGTACCATAAGCATAGAGATAGTTTAAGGAAGTATGGAATCTTATATATTGAACAACTACTGAATGTAGATCTGAGTAAAATACTAGAATTTAAACGAATTCACCAATATGAGATCCTACGCAGAAACGTTACCTGATATCCAGAATTAAAGAAGAAAATAGAAGAAAATTTAAATTATATAAGAGAAAAAATTACAAATAACCCAATCAATAGATTATCAATAATCGGAACAGAAAACAAACTAAAGGGTACATTAGTCACAATTAAACACTCCTCAGGCCCAATTATTGGGAAGATCACACGGGAACCTAAAATAAAAGATCAGAAAATTATTATGCAACACTATATACAAGAAGAATCGTAGGGAACATTACAATCTCCATTGGCAGCATGTAGTGGATGTTCATTAAAAGAAACAATATCAAATACAAATAATACGGATATCGCTTATTGCTCAATTACAGCCAATATTACTGAAACGAGTCGACTTCCAGTTAAAAACTCAAAATTCTCAATTGGTAATCAAAACGATAACAGATAAAAAACGAGAATGGTTATTTTCTCCAATTCACTTAACATATACATAATAATATCCCTACAAGAGTAAATTATAAAAATATTAGAAACAATATAGATGACTCAACCTTTTTGAAAAATATTATAACCACGGATCCACAGACATTAGAATATTTGGAAGGTATTACAGTCAACCTCACGCGGCACAAAAAAATAATTGCTTACACAGACGGC